GCAAACAATCTCTTTAGCTCTTTCTGTAGTCTGCTTCACACCTCTCTGTTCTTCCTTTGCCACCAAACTGTATTTATTTGTTTTCACAGAACTCCCTTGACCCTCTCTCATTTCAGCTCATTGTCTCTGTTCCTCCTGTGACTCCCTCAGGCATCAGCATTGTCTTAGCACATGTTGGGCAGCAGGTGTCATCCCAAGCACCTGGTAAGTACCTGCCTGAAAGAAGGCCCACAGGCTGGTGGTCCTGATATCAGTAATTGCAGCGAAGTGTGCTGAAGGCCTAGTAATTAGACCCAGTGCTTCATTAGTCCTTTTCTTATTTGAGCTTTCTCACTTCATTTTCTCCAAAAGAAAGTGCCTCCTTTACAAAATTTTCTTGTATAGCATTTTATTTTTTACTTTTTAAAATTATTTTTGCTTCTTTCTTTTACTTCCCATAACCTCATTTTAAATCTTTCCTGCTGCGTACCATATCTGCTTAGATATTGTAGGTTTCAGCAGGGGTGTGGTGGCACAGGCCTGTAATCCCAGCACACAGGAGGCTTAAGCAGGAGGACTGCCACGAGTTTGAGGCCAGCCTGTGCTACACAGTGAGTTCAAGGCCAACCTGAGCTTCCTAGCAAGACTTTGTCTCAAAAATCGAAAAAAAACAACCAACCAACCAAACAAAAGATAATTTGAGGGTTTCAGCAATGCCTGCTGCTTTCTACAAGAAAATAGCATTTAACTAGTTACCCATGTTAATATTTTGGAAGCATTATCAAATCCAGTGTTTCTCTCACAAAAAAAAAAAAAAAAACTTGGTAAATGAATGTTGAAAAAGAAAATATACATTAGGTGCACAAAAAGTACCGCAGCCTTGATTAAGTTGCCAGCCTTTCTGTCTTTGCTTAACTGTAGCAGAGATGTCCTTTTCCTCTGTCTCTAACGTACCCTCCAGGCAGTTGTAGTGTGTGTATGTGTGTGTGTGTGTGTGTGTGTGTTTATGTTATTTTTGCAATTTTCCTAGTGTTTACTTTATTCTACATTAGGTGCACAAAAAGTACCGCAGCCTTGATTAAGTTGCCAGCCTTTCTGTCTTTGCTTAACTGTAGCAGAGATGTCCTTTTCCTCTGTCTCTAACGTACCCTCCAGGCAGTTGTAGTGTGTGTATGTGTGTGTGTGTGTGTGTGTGTGTTTATGTTATTTTTGCAATTTTCCTAGTGTTATTACTTTATTCTCTTCTCCACTGACTGTGAGGTCAGTCTCAGCTCCATGGGCTGGCTGTCAAAGCTGCTGCCCCACCTGCTCCTCCATCCTGGTACCTACAGTGCTTAGTCAAGAAGTCACTTGGTGAAAAGTAGATGGGTGGTACAGAAAATCCTGGCTGTTTCCCTCTCAAGGGCAGAATTACATTTTCATTCTGCAAGTGTTGTGTCTACTGTTTATTTCTCAATAGCTTCTCTCATTTTTAAGTTGTAATGATATAAATATTATAACCTGTAGCTGGTTTTAAAATTCTGATTTTCCTTACCCCAGTATATGGGCTTAATTGTGTTTCTGCAGGATGTAACACCCAGTATCTTAGAATATGACATATCCTATATTCTGTATATGGAAAGAAGGTCTTTAAAGAGGTTAGTAATTAAAATGAAGCCATTAAGTGCAGTTTAATCCAATATAACTGGTGTCATTGAGAATAGGACATAGCTCTAAACAGTGGGAAGAGCATGCAAGAGTGGAAAGAGCCAAGAAGAAAGCTCAGGAGGAGCTGATCTCTCCGGCACTCTAATCTTGGGCTTCTTGACTGCAAGACTGTTTAAGCCATCTAATTTATAGTACTTTGTTATGTAACTTTAGCAAACTTACCACAGGTAGTGTGTTTTTTAATTCACTACAGTTTTAAGTCCCTGTATCCAGGCCCTTTATCCTTGAGAAAAGGGTGGGCCTAATGATCTAGTAGACCCTCTCCTCCCATCTCATATTTCTGTGAGGTATTTGAAATTTGTTCTAAGAAAATAGGGCCATCCTAATTTTTTCATACTAGAAAATATATACATAAGCTACTCAAAGAGCAATTCCCTCATCCATTTATTTTTAAATACTTCATCCCCCATTTTTTGCATACATTTAAACAGGTAATGTGTTAAATACTTTTCATGCTGCCATTTTGAAAGCTAGAGTACAGTAAGTTCCCATGGACAAGGAAAACTATGCCAGCTGCAGCTTCAAACTTGTGGAGATGTTTACTGCAGTAAATTTATGTGCTGTTTTGCAGCATGTTTCTGGAGGTTCTGGCTATAGAAAAAAATACACTGAATCACTAAATTTGACTTATCCAAGATTCCCTAGTCCCATTTCACAGTCATGTTGTCAACCCTAAAATGCTTATCTTTTCTGTCCTTAACCCCCAACCCCACCCAGTCTTCTGTCTGACTCCTCTGTAGTGGTGGTTGTTGAACTAAGGGAATTAAATTTGTTGAGTTTTTCAGAGACTGTTGAAAAAGAACCTTTGAATTTTACTAATCAGTTCAGATCTTTGTAGATCCCAGGTTCATCAGATTGCTTTCCTGTGTCATGAGGTGGATGTGAATCCATTTTAGAATCCAGAAAGAAAGCCTACAATCCTTTTTGAAGAACCAGCAATTTATTTTCTAGATTTCCTCTTCATTCTTTATGCTCTTATTTTGAACTTGTCTCTTCTTGTTCTGTCATGTAGAGGTAGAGGAGCAGAGCTAGTTGCCGTGTTTAAGAGCTCATTCATAGGCATTATTAAATTGCCTTTCTACTTTTTCTTTTTTAAATTGTACTTTATTGGTTCTTCAACCATACAGGCTTATGGAAAATTTTTAATTATGTATAAGACTTGCCATAAAAGCCATCAGGTTTTTTCCACAACTGCCTTTGATAGTAAATTCAGCAGTAGTTGAGTGTTATTCACACAAGGAAATATTTCCCGTACTCTGTCCTATAATTTTCATTTCTGTTTTGCTAACCAGAAAGCATAACAATTAGGCAAATGAAAATTATAATTTTCCCCAGGACAAATGGTAATTCAAACAGATAAGTTGTAGACAATCTTTTGACCTCATATTCATTGACAGATTCAGAAAGATTAGAAATATATCCTACTGATAAGAACCAAATTCAAGAGTTTTCCGTGTCTACTTGTATTCTTAGTATACCTGTAACTAATAGCTTGGTAGAAGTCATTTAATTTTTTTCTGTATCATTCTATTTATTTCTGAAACTGAGGAAGGAGGAGATCAAGATTAGATGACCTTGAAGTTGTCTTCCAACCCAGAAATTACATATGCTACTACTAATAATGATAATTAATAAATTAGGGCTCTTACTGAGTTAAGTATATTTGGTCCCAATAATATTAATTTGTTTGAAAATATATCATGCATTATCTGCAATGTTCCAAATACTGGCAGTATAGTGATAAGTTGGATATCTTTCAGAATTTACATCTTATTGGGGAAAAGACATAAAAATAAGAATAGTTGAATATTATTGGGGCAGTTAGAGAGGTTCGTTTAAGGCATGTCAGGGTACAGTGGCCAGTTTGGCCGTAGGAAGAGGCCTGTGGTGAAAGAGGCCAAGTATGAGGCTGAGGGTACAGCTCATTGGTAGAGCACTTCCCTACATGTACAAGGCTCTGGGTTCAATCCACAGCACCACACACACTAAATAAACAAGTAAAGGAAGAGAGGGAGGGAGGGACCAACAACAAAGGCCTGAGCAGAGCAGCTGCAGTGCAGTGATGAAGCAGCAGCTTGCTTGTCATGGCTAAGCTTGTGGAAGAGGAAGTAGAAACATGCTCCACTTTTTCCCAAGGAGCTGGAATATAAACAGAAAAAAATGGAGGAGGGAATGAGAATATAAGAGTTGTTTTTTTATATATATATGGGAGTGAAGAGCCAGTGTAAATGTTTTGGGGGGCATTAGAACATTAGAAAGGGAATATTTGTTGTAGAAGAGACGAAGATGTAATGAACAAACTTAGGGTGAGAAAACAGAGAGATGGATGAATGGGTACATATGTGAAATGTAAATACAGCAAAATGTTGGCTAATAGAAAATGTTTACAGTACAATTCCTTCAATATTTCTCTATATTTGAAAATTTTATGATATTGGAATTATTTTGTAATGTTGAGGGGAAGAATACAGATTGAGAGTTTACCCTTGAACTTGTTTTTATGGCAGGAAATTATGCAAGGAACTAGGTTAGCACATTCACGATGGGGCTCTAATTCATATGTCTTGCTGCTGGGTGGCCTGAACCACCAGTGATACATGCATTGACTTTCCCATGGGGTAGCTTTTTATTAATTCATTAGTAAAAAGACCAATAAAAATGCTTAGGTCTGTACCACAGGTGCTACAAGCCACCCAGTGGGACAGTCACACACATACCACCAGTGGTTCAAGCTAGCGGGAACATGGGAAAGCCTCTCTTCTGTGGTAAAGTAGGTGTCACTGTTACCTGCTGAGACTGAGAACCAGAACAAAAGCATTAAGAATGAAGGATGGAATAGTCTCTGTGGCAAGTGAGAGGGGCTGAGCAAAACTGGGCTAAGGATGAGATGCTGATGCTCAGGTTCCAATGAAATTGTCTCCTTCTGCAGGCCAGGGATTTAGCTCAGCGGTTCCGCCGCCTGCCTTGCAAGTGCAAGGACCAGAGTTTGATCCCTGGTACCAAAAAAAAAGAAAAAAAAAACAAAAAACAAAAAAGAAATTGTCTCTTTCTGCAATTTTCCCTTGTAGGCATCAGGAGACTGTACACTAGCAGGAGCATTGACTGTAAAGTTTAAGAAAGGGAAAGCAGGATGAGTAGATGGAATGCATGATTCACTCCACTCACTCCTTACCAACAGTCATGTCTTCTGAGTGGGGGAGTCTTTCTGCTCTCTCATTAACCTTTCTATTTGAATTATATGAGATAAAAACAATATTATAAAATCTTACTACACTATTACTATCATTTAACTGAGATTTTGTTGTCTTCTTTAGGTAAAAGAAGAACGGCCAGAAAAAATACCTGACTTAAAATTACTAGTGGAGGAGAAATTTTTGGCTTTACAGAGTAAGAATTCTGATGCAGACTTTCAAAATAATGAAAAATTTGTACAATTTAAAGAACAGTTGAAAGAACTGAAGAAGCAACGTAAGTCAGCATGTTTTGCTTTGGTTTGGCTTTTTGAAATCAGGGAAATGAGTTGGTCTCAGAAAACTTATGCTAAAGTGTATGCTTACCTGCTTGGCTTGATCTTCTTCTTCTTCTTCATTTTTTTTTTTTTCATTTTTTTGTACCAGGGATTGAACTCAGGTCCTTGTACTTGCAAGGCAGGCAGCAGAACCACTGAGCTAAAAACCTGGCCCTTTGTCTTGATCTTCTTAAATTGCTTTTTATTATTGTTGCAATTCCATATTTTGTCTAACTTTTGGTTCCAGTCACCTTCCATTTCTGAAATCCAGCAGTTCCCTCCAAATGCTAAGAAAATTCCCTGGCACCAAAGGAAAGTTACATATAGTGTCCCTCTACTGGTGAGGAAAATTGGGAAAACAATATAAAATTAAAATCTGTTTAATTAAAATAATAATCGCTTTTTCAGATTTTAAAAAGCTTGCTTTGGAGGAGTAGTAGCTGGTTTTTGTTTGTTTGTTTGTTTGTTTGTTTTCTCAAATAGAGACCAAAATCCTCTTGGTGGTGTATCCCCCCCCACCCACCTGTGGTACCAGGGATCGAACTCAGGACCTTGTGCTTGCCAGGCAGGCGCTTAATGGTTTATCTTTGTAGTAGTATAAATTCCATGTAATCATTAAATTTGTTGCCTTTTTAATAAACTATTATGCTTAGATTTTTTTAATGAACATAATCTTGACTTAAAAATGAGAGTGAGGAAAATAATTTAGTGTATAAAAAAGTCTATGCATAGAATTTGCCCATAGCAGTATATCGCTTCTGCACAGTGAAGTATGTACATTCTTTTTTTCCCCTGTGACCCATATGGCGATGTTTTGTAAATTGATTAATTATCATAGCATATATGTAGTTCAAGTCTTTCGTTATTGAAGTTTTTTTTAATTCCTTAAAACATTGAACAATGAAGCAACTAACTTTTTCTTTTTGGTACTGGGGATCGAACTCAGGACCTTGCAATTGCAAGCAAATAACTCTTTTTTAAACTTAGTCTCCTGTCATCTTCATTTCCATACACACAGAGTAAGAATATTGTGTGATACAAGACACAGATTCATTTCACACCCTTAATATGTACTGAAGAGATTCATATTTTGAGCATTTTAAGCAAGACACAAGGACAGACTTCCATTTCACCAATGGCAAACAGTAGGGCAAATGAGAATGAAAAGGCTGATAGTGAACCACCAGGACACCCTGAACTCAAAACACAGGAAGTAACAAAACAGATCAATCAGGCTCTAGAAAAATTCAAAACAGAAATAATTTCCCAGATAACCATAGAGATAGTGAGCAAAATGGAAGTCGTGATTCGAGACTCTAGAGCAGAAACTGACAGAAAAATAGATGAGCTCAGGACCATGATAGAAGCCATGAAGGCCCAGCATAAGAAAGAAATGGAAAAAATAAACGCCCAACATAGGCAAGAAAGGGAATCCATAAAACAGATTCAAACAGATATCCAGGAGACTAAACACTCTGTTGAATGTGTACGCAACATATTTTGAAATACTTTCTTTTAAATATAAGCATTTTCTTTAAATTGATGCTGAGATCACAAAAAATGACTGAGGAAGCTGCTTTACAAATAACTTATTTCACAATTTGCAATGTTTTGCAATCATTATGAGACTTTTGCTTTTACTGTAGATTTTCAGAGTGAGCATTTTGCTTGTATTTAAGTTCTGTTTTTGTTCTCCATTGAATATCATGGCTACCAAAATCTTTCTAATATAATTGGCACCATCCCCCCAAATAGCTAATAATCCCCAGAACAAATAATAATGTGCTAATGGCTTTCTGATTTTAAGATGTTAGTTAATTTCAGTTTTGATATTGGCCAAAATAGGCCGATATATTTTATTTAATTACTTGGACCTAGTATTCACATTGTGACAGATTTAATATCCAATTGTAATTCTTGTTCTTTAAAATGGTTGTAATACAGATTGAGCCAAGTTTTAGCACAGTGGCATCACACCTGCTTCGAAAACGCAAGGTCCTCAGTTTGATCCTAGGTACCTGCCAAAAAAGTTTTAATACAGATTGAAGAATAAATATCCAGCAACATAAAAATATAAATTACTTTTTCATTTATTATTGTTCATAGTTTTTATTCCTTAAGAGAAATTACAGACTTTTAGGAAATATTTTCTTGAGGAAATATTTTCTAATTAAAAACATACAATTCAACAAAATAATACATGTTGAAATCATAGTTATTGTTTAATTTTCTCTAAAATGGGAAAGGCAGGGTGTGAGGCTGAGAGAGAGAAAATATTAAGGAAAGAGAGACAAAGGTTTCTCAAATCATTTGAATAGGTAAATCTAATGACAAAGGATACCGAAACAAATGCTTCCTTATGTAAGGTTTCCCCACATACTGTAACACTGGAATTAAAAGAACTTTCCCTTTAGTTTCCCCTAAAATATTCTTTTAAAAATCATTAAATTTAAAAAGGAAAAGAAAAATTCTTAAATTTTAAATGACAGAACATGTAAAATAATAATACTCTTATAAAAAGTTCTTGAAAAATATACATACTTAATGTGCAAAATGAAATTCTCTGTGTAGTATTACAAGTGCTATTGGTTAACTTGCCCCACCCACATCCAGTAGAGTTGATTTCTTTGACTTAATTCTGCTACAAGCGTCCCGGTTACGATTGGGCTCCCACAGTGATGTGGCCCCAGGCCATAAAGTACAGTGTTATGAGCCAGGGAGGAAGCGAATGAATCTGTTTTGAGATATATTCTGGAGAGAAAGAATTATAATAATATTTTTTTGTTTTTAAAGATTGGAAAATACAAGCCCAGGGGATGTATTTGGTTCTAGTTTTCTATTTGGCAAAGTAAAGGCTGAAGTATTTCTAACAGTTCTTTCATGGAAATACCATGAAATGCTCATCAACCTTATGGGAAAATATAAATGCATGGGATTAAATTATATCAAGTCAGGATGTGATTGAAGAAATGGCTGGAAGCTCCCTGATGGGAGAAGTCAAGGTGAGGCGGCTGGTGGGCAGACTTGGGCATTCAGTTGTGAGCTTGCCTGCTATAGCTCAGCAGCTTTTTCTCAAACTCTTTGGTCCCATACTCCCTTACACTCATTTTTTCTTTTTCCGTTTTCAGCAATACTGGGGATTGAACCACTGAGCTGTATCCCCGCCCTTGTTCTTCAGTTTCTGGCTTAGAAGGCAGCTAGACTCTCATGTTTTCGTCTTCATTTGACTTGTTGTATTACATTATTTTGGCTAAAATTGGTGAGAAAAATGTGGTCTTACACCTTGGTTGTGGGAGAATTTGCACAGCAGTAGAAATGGTCCTTTGCACTGAGCTCTAACCCTAGACTTTTATTTATTTTTCATTTTGAAACAGAATCTTACTAAGTTACCCAGGCTGGGGTCAAATTTATGATCCTCCTGCCTCAGCCTCTCAAAGTGCGGGGATTACAGGCTGTACCACCATGTGTGGCTGAGAATAGTTTTTGTATTTTTAAATTGTTGTTCGAAAAAAAATAAAAACATATTTAGTAATGGAGAAATTATATGAAAGTCTGATTTTAGTAATCCCAGCACTCCAGAGGCTGAGGCAAGAGGATCGCAATGAGTTCAAGGCCCGCTTGGGTTACATAGTGAGACCCAGTCTCAAAAAGAAACAAAAAGTGATCAGATTCCTGCCTTTTATCAACTAAGCTAATTTGTGGACTTTATCTTTAAGGGCCTAGAAGAAAAGAAGCAAAACAAACTTAGAAACTGATATGGATAACCTTGGGGAGCTTTGGCTGTGTCCTGAAGTTGCAGTCTTCTTAAAAGTATAATTTTTTTAGGGCCGGGGATTTAGCTCAGCGGTTCAGTGGCCTGCCTTGCAAGCGCAAGGACCCGAGTTCGATCTCCGGTACCAAAAAAAAAAAAAGTATAATTTTTCTTAGTTTTGATTTTTCTTGTCTCCTTACCTGTCTTTATTTCTTCTGCCCTACCTCAGTCAATGGTGGAGTTGAGTAGTTGCATCATAGACCATTGGCCCACAGACCTTACTCTTTGTACTGTGTAGCTCTTTACAGAAAACCTTTCTGGATCAAAACCATATTCAGAAACAAGTCGTTTCTTGGATTTATTTTTAGATTTTTTTTTTCCCCTAAATGCCATCTATTTGTCTCAGGTATGTTCAGAATACTTTGAACTTTTATTCTGTGTCACTGCAGTTGATGCTCGGAAATGAATAAAATGCAGGAACCCTATACTTGGAGAGACAGTGTATACAAATGTGAAATAATGTGACAACTGTTAATAACAAATAACCCAGTTGCCAAGTTTTATCTGCCACACTCATTTTGCCAGTGTATTCACAGAAAAATTCCAAGGTGGCTCATGCCCAACAGGGAAGAATTACAGTGGGACAGTTCAGATACCTATTAGTTAATGTCCTTAGAATAAAACCTGAAACATATGATGTACTTGTTTAAAAATATTTATCTAAATGTAACACGTTAGTTGTACCTACTAGCTTTTAGTGTTTATATCTTATAGATATTACCACATATTGGATCAACTTCTTGGAACACATCATTTATCTATTCAGTGCCCAGTGGACCACATATCAGAGTAAATTCTGTCAGCCTCCGTTTACATCTCAGGATTATTACTCAGCCTAAAGGAGACACTGGCTGTTTGCAAATCCCAAAAGCCTGCCTTTAATTTGTTATTATTGGGAATGCTGGTACAGCTTATTTGAAAGAACATGAGCTTGGCCGCTGGAAGACCTGGATTTGAGTCACCCAGTATGTAGCCTGGTCTCCCTGCAGATGCTATCCATTTTTCTGCCAGTTCCTAGCATAGTAGCAAATCAAGATTGATTTTGACAAGAGGACTGGGATAGTGATCCTGATAATAACTGCATTAGGCAATGATTTCATGGAAAATTGTTTCTCTAAGTAGTAATAGTATCCTTACAAGATGTGAAAT